TAATTGGCAGCACCAAATTGATCTTGATCATCAAACTGAAGTCTCAGTTTTCTCGTCTTTAAACGTGACATTTCGCCATCGAATGACAATACAAAACGGCAGAAGAAAAGAAGAGTATGGTCGATAAGAATGCAAAAATAACGGCTTTGTCAAGTGCTGACTGTATGTTTTTTTTCTGTAAATGGCGCTTGCTCGTGACCATGATTCACTTTATGACGCACTGTTTTAAAAGTAATCAGAGATATTCATCTCTCTCGCAAGAAGGCATGCCGTTCGTTTTTTACCACAAAGAAAGAGAATGAGTGACACAATGAAAAGTAAGAATAGTGTTGAGATGTTTTTCGCTTCATTCCATTGATTGTTAAAGTTTACAGTCAAGGGCATAATTTACTCAGTTACTTGCTTCCTTCATGAAATTTTTTCTCCGAGTGATGTTCTCTCTTTTTGACCTCCATCACCTCCAGCTGAACGGAACAAAGCATGATTTCATCGTTCCTCTTACAGTCATTTTATGATCTTTATGGGTTCTTAAGATGCTCAAGAAGTTTCAGGTTTCAGCCCTGGGGCTACACTGACGAACTTTTTTCCGCCATCCTGTGATTCACGGTTGATCTACGTTACTACATCGTTAAGATTACATCGGGTTTTCAGTTTATGCGTACGCTTTTTTAGTGGATCTCTGGAAAACCTCCCGCGGAACCGAAGCTCAGATCAAGTTTTTCGACTCGATCTACATACTATGATCTCTGCTGATATATATGAGTTGTGGTTGGGTGGGAAATAAAACAAACATCGCCACAATGATCAGCGTGGGCGATTACCAATTATCAACGTGTTTCCGAGATTCCCAGACGTGTCTGCTTTTTTTGTAATTAGCCAAAAAACGCGTTTTGATGGGTTTTGTGTATTGGGTCTCGCGCTCGTTTGCAAGGTCAGAAAAATGCGGAAGCTACGAAGAAATGTACAAAACTCTTTGAGTTATCGAATGAATACCCCAAAATCCGAATTCCACGAAACCTTCTATCTTTGCGCACCTGGTTTTCCAGAAATCCAACTAGAAAATCACGCAAAACTCTATCAAAAAGTTTTCTTTTCATGTATATCTATGTCCCAAGGGCTTGGCTACACAATGGTGAAAACCGCAGCGTTAAACAAATTAAAGGTACTGCTATGGGCACTGCGTGTACATTTATATATATTTATGTGGGCAGCTGTTGAAGCCTCGGAGTTATTCAACTCACAGTCGCACGCATTCTATTTTGAAAACGACACTAAAACCCCGAAATAGAAGCACCCTCTGTGACTCATCTTGTAAAAGTGGAAATAAAGGACTCGTCTATATTTCAGTTTTCAACTCCTAAGACTTGCAAAATTCATAATAAATATTTTCTATTGAAAGTAAGTTCTCCGTCTCACTGAGCACACATAAATATGCCCATGAAGCAGTGAGAAAGTGTCATTCTGCGCATATGATAAGATGACAAAATGTATCTTTTTACGTTAGTGGCTCAGTTGCTATAGAAAACACAATACATGTGACAAGAAATGCATGGAGTCAAATGAAAGAGAAAAATGCGCTCTAACCGCTATCCTTGCATTCTTCCATAACTGTTTGTCTCTCATTGACTCCTAATATTTAGTAATAACTGACGATGAGACAAAATTCATTTGCTCAGAGCATGGTCTTGAAAAGCAGCTTTCTTTCAGGAACACACTAGAAGTTCCCCTAAAATCTTTATTCTTAAGGACAGAATAGAAGACCGGGATCTTTTATTGTGTCACCTCCTTTATTTCACGCTTCACAAGTTGAACGGACAAAGAGGAAGCTTTAGGTATACAAAAATTCGGCATTGATCTTAGCATATCGTGTCCTAGATTCTGGAGTCTAAGTAAAACAACCTTCTGAAGGAGACAATCACTTTCCAGACATACAACTTCAACAGTATTTTGAACATGGTAAACACTGATTTGCTCTAATGCTTGATCTTCACTGTGTTCTTGTCGACAATCGGTTTCAACGGTCAAAAAACGAGACTCATTTTCTTTAAAACTTTTAATTTATCGAATGAAAAGTAAGAATAGTGTTGAGATGTTTTTCGCTTCATTCCATTGATTGTTAAAGTTTGCAGTCAAGGGCATAATTTACTCAGTTACTTGCTTCCTTCATGAGATTTTTTCTCCGAGTGATATTCTCTCTTCTTGACCTCCATCACCTCCAGCTGAACGGAACAAAGCATGATTTCATCGTTCCTCTTACAGTCATTTTATGATCTTTATGGGTTCTTAAGATGCTCAAGAAGTTTCAGGTTTCAGCCCTGGGGCTACACTGACGAACTTTTTTCCGCCATCCTGTGATTCACGGTTTATCTACGTTACTAGTAGAATAAATGGAATTTAAAAACTATCCAACCTAAGATCTAGGAAGAATAGACACAAAGATAATCTGGAAAAGTACAGGAATTGAAGATTTTGTATCGAAAACGTTTACTAAACCCCCCCTATAATAGAAGACCATCCCCTATTAGAAGACCACTGCCGATTATATGACTTGAAAGCCAAATAGAAGACTATGGTCTTCTAACTCCTAGAAGACCAGTGGTCTTCTATTATGTCCGCGAAAAAAATCGGAAAATGTCCTATACCTATAGAGGAATTTTCAAAAAAATTTCGCCGAAAAGAACTTCTAATAGAGGACGGACTTCAAGTACGTGAGGTTGCTATTGGACTATCAGCAGGCGACAAAATTTGACCGCAATAGAAGATCACCCTTTAGAACTTGACTTGAGAGACAAAATAGAAGACCAGGTGGTCTTCTATTATTTTTTAGAAAAGAAATTGTTACATTTTTCGTTGAGGGATAATGTATGAGAAGAGTATCATGTTGAATAGACCCTACTCTTTACTTCTTTACATATTCGATGAGTGAGAAGCATTTAAGTTTCTTATGTTTTCTCGAGCACTGTTTCTGCTGCATTCTAGAAAACGAGACGTATGGCCATTGCACGAGCAGGTCAAAAGAAAATCGCCCTTCTGATTGGCAACAACACATATGCGACCGATGAAGTACTCAAGTGTTGCATCAATGATGCTCATGATCTCTCACACCAATTGTGCTCTATTAGCTTTACTACTACTGTCGTGACAGATGCTGATGTCCCGAAGATGTGACGAACCATTGATGACTTCGTAGATTGCATTTCTAAAGGTGATCTGGTTGTCTTTTTCTTTGCTGGCCACGGAACCCAATGGAACGATCAAAACTATTTACTACCAGTTGATACTGACCGAATAAAAAACAAGGGACATCTCAAGTCTAGAGCTGTCATTGCACAAGATACTCTTGAACTCATGTCGACTAATAAGCCCGTTGCAATCGTTTTTTTTTCTTGATTGTTGTCGTGATTATTGTGTCAAAAATGATGCTTTATAGACCCGCAAACAAGAGGCAATTCAACGTTACCCACTGGTCTAGCTAGTATGGCTGCGCTAGAAGATTCACTCATCGTATTTACTTGTGCTCCTGGACAAATGGCTCAGGATCTAGCCAAGAACGAGCGCAATATATTCGAGAATAACGAGAAAAATAAGTCTTTATTCTCGGTGCGGTACATAGAATATATAAAATCATTGATCATTTTAAAAGAACAAAGAAAACATGTTTACTTTAAAAATAGTTTCCAGGGATACGCATTAATCACAAAACACCATCTGCCGTGCATTGTTGTTGTTTGAATAAACATTCTTATTTATTTATCTATAGCTGGAAAATTCCAACCTCAATTATTTTTGTGACACATGAAAAGGAGACAGAAAAACACATCATGAATCTATACTAATTATATTTATAACATTACAAACATGCAAAAGGCTTTTAGCAAGAAAAAGGGTTAGCGATAGATATTGTTTTTACAACTAAAATTTGAAATGATGTTTTTATCATGACTAGAAACGTTTAACATAAAAAGATACATATGTCACTTTGTATGGCTAGAAAAATCATTCCGCATTTGTTGAACAATCAGCTGCGATAGTCTCAAGATATATACTTCTATGAAAGAGTCACAATAATGTTTTTGGAATCGTCTGCTCTTAATAAGAAGATGCACGATATTCTTGATTGAAAAATGTCAAATAGCTTAAATTTTTATGGAACATTTTTACGATGCACAATCTTTAATAACTCTGGATCGTCTTGTCTATAAGATAAATATCTTCAAGTAACCAGTTTATACAAGAAAACGTATTTTTTACGCATTATTAAAAAAATGAGAAAAGTTTAAATATGAAGAAAATATGAACTGTTTTGGTGCTAGATAACATCTATAAACAAATATTTTCGAAGCAATAGTTAAAGTAATATGCGTATGCCAATATACAAAGCTACAAAAAAGAATATGTCACGACACTCTTACTCTTGAGTTGCTTAGTTTCAATGCATATGATAGTGATCGAGTTATAAAACTACGGGCATCTGATCAATGAAGATGAATAGATACAAATGTCACATATTCTATCTATTAAGCTAATATCTGTGGAAGAGCACTTTTATCTAATACTAGATTAAAATTTTCGATCTAATCATGTATTTTACCCTAAACTTCGCCACAAAAATCTAATTTTCTTAGTTGATGCCTGGACTTGATTTTTTAGACTAAGCCACAAGTTAAGTCTTTTCAAAAAATCTCCAAGTCAAATCGAAGATGATTTGCCCAGCTCTAGTTAATACCGGAAGAGTAAAAGAAAATATTTCAATTTTCAACACTTCAAAATGCTATTTCACATACAAAATATGTTTGGTATCATCCATCTTCAAGTTTTGTTAGCATTTACTAAAGGTAAAAATTGATTGATCTGTTATTAAACGTGTGTGTGATCATTTTTTCTTCTTATTTATTTATAACTTGATTAAATACCAGATTTAAATTTGTGGATAGAAGTTCTTTTTCTCAACCACATGAAGTTGTTGGTGGCGGTGGAACAAATGGCACCAATGCAGAAGTCTACACTCGCCTTTGGATCTCTTGTTTAATAAAATGTTGCTGTACATGACTAGGTAGACCAGGATTAAGACTAAGTGCATATGGTAACATCATTTTCGAAAAATCTGCAAAATCGACAACCACTTTGATAAACATGGTATTATCTTGAACATAGTTGTTATTCTCTTGTTGAATCATTGGTAGTGGAAAAAACTTTGGAATTCCGCTGGCGACATTCATTTCTGAACGTGGTCTCTGAAAACTATTTGACTTTGTATCTGGTCTGAAAGAATCGATAACATGTTGATTTTGACCTGATTGATCGAATAAACAGAAAGTGATTTTGTAATTAAACGGCCATTTAAGTAATGAAT